TACACAGGCAAAAAAAACCCTATTCAGTATAATTTAATTACTGCTTAATTAGCAGATAGAGCCTGATTGCTGTATATACAGTCATAGCCAGCTTAATCATCCCTATGACACTTAAATAGTATTTTAATGCTGTAACTCATCCTATAAGGACCCTTGGATAAAGATTACCTCTTCATTTGAATCAATTGTTGTTTCATGTTCTCAAATTTAGGCTACACAACACTGAATGACCTGGTAATGTGTGTAATCATGTAAAATACATTCACAAGAAAATCTAAGCCATTGAAAACACATTGCTGGATAGATTACTTATTGGGTCAGGGCACTACTTACGGTAAGATATGCATTTATCAATTAACTATGCCTGGTACCGTTAACCCAAAAGTGCCCTCATTAGCATAATTAGTCAACATTTGATTTTGTTTTTCTCGTAATCCTTGGCAAAACGCAATGGTTCACAAGAATTGTTAAGCTACCCCCCTAGTGGCACAGCTAGATATCACAAAATACCAATCGTGCCAGATCTGACAATGTTCAGTTACTAAATAGTAGATCAATATGTTCTTGGGCTCTTTAAAGTGAATAAAGCCAAAAAACTGGTTTTACTTCTAACACTACTTTAGAACACTAGAACAAAGCGCAAACTGAAATGCTACATGTTCGGAGAAATGTGGATAGTAAATTTCTACACTGTCTGTGTCCTAATTCATAGGTCTCAGTGTTTTGAGGATGCAACTGGTAAAGTAAAAAAATAAATAAATTTTAAAAATATACACACACAAAAAACAGATCTTGAAGTTTTTGAACACAACCACAATGCTGTCTGGAGGTATTTTCTAAGAAGACTGTTATGAAATTCTTACTGACAATATATACATTGGTGGTTTTAATTCTCCATCAACCTTGTACTGGATTTACCCATTATTGTGTATTAACCAAAGGAGCATAGTTACAAAGCTTTATATAAGCCTTAGTGTTCCAGCCAAAAAAACTGCATGTGTTAACAGCACAACTGTTAATGTACTAAGTATTTTAAATTCTTTATATTCATGAAAGGAAGATAGCCTGCGACCCAGATCATACCTATAGTCCCTGCTGTGCCTGTTTCATCCCCTTTCTAGGTCTTAAATAGGAAGCACAGCAGCAATTGTAATTTGACCATTACTCTTGAAGCCATGTATCTTTGTATCATTATGTCAGCATGAAGAATGTTGTAGATTTAAATTATATACCTTGCATGCAAGTAAAATCCACACTTAATTTGAAGCTTTGGGTTAAAGGTCATTTTAACAGGGACAAAACTGGGTGTTAAAAGCCCCCATGAAAGGAAAGTAAATGTCACCAATTGACTTGGGATGCCTGATCAAATGTCTCATCTAAGAATAAAAAAAAGCCGCAGCAGAAAAGTTATGAAGCTGTGATTCGGTGAATGTGGCGCAAGTGATTTACAAATGACATGAGGCTGAAAGTATTTACTTGTTCTGAAGTTGATGATAGATAGATAGATAGATAGATAGATAGATAGATAGACAGATAGATAGATAGATAGATAGATAGATAGATAGATAGATAGATAGATAGATAGACAGACAGACATACATACATACACACCCATTTAAGGGGATCCAGGGCCTGTATTGGCTGGTTTTGATTATGGGTGGGGGCGTAACACCCGGTTATTTCTACTAAATGCAATAAATAACTATTGCGATTTTTTACTTCTATCCCTACTATTTTTGTTATTGACATATCTTGTTATGTATACCTTTGTATTATGCCTAAAGGCTGACACATTTCCCTTTTTATTCCAGTTTGTTCATTTCACTGCATTACTTCCCCATGTCCATTACGTGCAGCACATCTCGCATGGAAAATGTACTGTTCTTATGCTTGGTAACATTTCTGAGAGACGTTTTCACGACTGCTAGTTACCAGGGAGCTATAAAAAGCAGGCCTGCTGAAATGTGGGTACGGTTTCCTCTCAAGGCTGATTTAGATTGCCATTGTGACACATGGTCAGGGGAACATCCACAGATCTGTCAGAAACAGAACTGAACTGAAATGAAAAAAGTTCAAGTTAAAGACAGCAGTATTTTCAGTACTCGTGTACGGGGTATTCCGCCCAGAAATGCTGTAGAATTTGTTTACTTCGTAAAATCATCAGTCTTACTGCATAACATGTACTTTCAAAAGAAAAAAAAAATACATAGTATAAAAACAATTTATCAGTACTGTTTACATGATATATGTTATCTATGATTATTTGTTCATCTCTGTGATTAGTTTTTTTCCGTCTAAAACACCAGTCCCTTATTGTAATGCTATTCTCTTGTTGCAACAGTACAAAATAGATTTGCTGCCTGCAAAATATATGAATCCTAACTATTTGTCATAACTAAAGAAATATATTATTTTGGTAACGTTTTACTTGAAGCTGTCATCTATAATAAAATTATGGACACCTTCATAATGCATGACAAAACATCCATAATGTATTATAATGGGCGATATAAGAATTAATAAACATTACAGCATAATCTAATGACAGTCATAAGGCATTATAGTGTTGATTATAATACTTCATAAGCTGCAGTGCATCTTCTATAATGCATTACGATGCTCCTTAATTCTTATACAGACCATTATAATGCGTTACGGATACTTTCAGTACTTTTGCTATCAATTGACAGGCATGTCCACGTTGCACATGGCAGTGGTTGCTGGTGCCTTCTTTGTTGGGTATATGCTCATATCATTTGTCTGGCACATGTTCCGAAATGTATTTGCACATTGTCCAGTGCATGTAGCTGTCCACCATGTTGTGTCTGAGTGAATAATCCAAAACAACTGACTCGCATGTTCTTCCACCTTATCGCAGGTCTTGCATGTTCTTCTGGCGGTATCTGGTGTTCCGCGCAGTTAGTCCAGGGCTGTGATCAGGTTCTTTTTGTCTCCTTTGAGACCGGAACTATGTAGCTATGCCAAAGATGCCGTCTTGCTGACTGCTGGGCTTCTCTCTGTCTCGGTAGAACTGTCCGTGCAGCAGCTTGCTCTATAGCAGTTCTGCTTTTTTCACTCTGTGCTGGACTTCAGCTGAATTCCTTGGCATTGTGGGCAACTGCATTCTCTTTCGTCTCGATCATTTAGCTTCCTTCTGGAGAAAATACTTCAATTTGCTTATGCCATGCTCCTTCACTAGCCTAAGTTAGGTAACTGCACTCGAGCCTGTGGATGTAAGCTTTCAGATGAAGGATACCTCTGATTGTGATCTCGTGTGACTTCCCAACCATCTTTTCAATGTATGTCCTTGACGAATCCACTGTTAGATTCAGTTCAGTGCAATTTTATTTGTATAGTGCATTTTCATAAGGCTACATTGTCTCAAAGGGTGTTACATTGTTCCTGCCTAATCACCCCAAAAAGCAAGTCAGAGGTGACAGTGGCAAGGAGAAACTCCCTAACAGGAATGTTACATCGTTATGATACCAGCTGCTGCAAGATGAAAAGGAAAAAGACATACAGTAATTAATAAACATGTTGGTGTTATTGGGGGAGGGGAGCTTTGTTGCTGAAGAGGTCTGGGTGATACTTTCCGCTGTAGCACTTAATTAAAACCATGGTAATCATTTACAGCATGGTTAGAAACATGGCACCTGCAGAGAGGAGCTGCACAACACGACCAGGATGCCTATGGTGGAAACGGGCATTTGGGATGCGGGTAAATCACAAAGCTACGACAGTAATGTTATTGTGTCTGGCGTAGGGGTTCCATCTGGAGAGCAAAGCAATACAGTGTATTGGAAAGAAGGCAAGTTTGCACAAGACTAGGCCACGAGACACAATAAGTCTGTCATAAAAAAGTAACAGAGCATGGAGAATAACTGTAGTCAGAATTCAAGGCTGCTACATATAATCGTGATCACTAGTTATAGACTCATATCTGAGAGCCTGAAGAGGATGCATTATTATGGTATTTTTAAGGGATATACATCTGAGATGGAGGTAGAAAAGATGGCACAGCATTGAATAACACAACCTCAGATGCATATTCTGCTTCTCTGGGCTTGTTTAAAGCATCCCTTAGAACAGTAGAGAAACTGCAATGTCCTCATAATGTCAACGACAAACAATCCACAGAGTATCTGTTTTCCGGGGGGAAAAAAAATCTATCCACTTTGAAGTTTTCCTTTTTTCCCCTTCAAAAAATTCCCACCCCAAAAAGAATTTACCTCCTAGTTTTTGCCTAGAGAGAAGTAAGATATTCACCATGTTTATAAATGTTATGGAATCCATTTCTGTTTCAGCTAAAATTAAGTTGTTTCTTAGTGTGTTGACAACGTTACATTTCAGCTTCTAGGAAAAGCAGTAGTTAGGCAACAGTACGAACACAGTCACAAGTGCTCATTATTTCCAGTATCATGCAAACCGCTTTAAAACAACGCTACCCATATGTATGACAGAGAAAAAGGAAATTCCAATGTGAAGAGTCAATGGGACTATAGTGTAATTAGGGTAAAAACAATATGGACTAGTTCTTACATTTTAAACTATACATTGAGTAAAATTGTCGATCTTTTATGTAATATTGTTTGTACTGTATGTCATAATTCATGGTAGTCAAATCCTGATCTAATTAAACTCCAGCTTAATATTATTTGCATGCATTGTATTTCCAAAACAATTACACCCTTGCACAACTCATATTACAACTTCAGGCAGTTGAGTGGAATATGAAATTTGACCTAGATGAAATCTCAGTAGTTTTTCAAAACCTTTCATTGTTCCTGACTCAGAAAATGTCATTTATGTTGATCATGTGGTATGCAGTAGCATATATTTAACATAGAAGTGCAATTTATTCTTAAAGGAGATTAATAATTAGATTTTTTCCCAAACTTCCTTGTCATTCAACAGTTTTTTTTTTTAAAAGAATAGATTGTAAAATGCTGTGTAATACTTGGTCAACATTCTTTCATTAAATACAATAACATGCAACTTACCTTTCTCTTGTTATTGGGACTGACGTACAAGTAGCTCAGAATGGTTTTTGCCCCAACTTTATCATTGAGTTTCTCATAAGTTGTTCCATAGTCTGTGGACCTGAAAATTAATGGGAATCCCATGAACATTTTTAAATAACCATTTTAAAAAAACAATAGAAGTAAATAGGCCAAAAAAAGCATTCATATTTGGAAGCAATTGATCTGCATTATAACAATGCTTACAGTACAATATCACCTGAGACATGTAAAATGGCTACCAAAAAGACAGCACTTAACTGCTCAATACTGAAACACCTGAATAAATTCAAGTATATTTTATATTATTTATTAATATTAAGACATATATAAAGAGTTTATGCACAAAATTCCATCTATAACTACATAACTACTATCCAACTCCTTCTTATTAAGAAAAGCTATAATACATCAACTGCTGATTCAATTACACACTTTACTGATAACTCTATATTTCAGTAATATAAACTATATTGCAGTTATAACACTGGTGATAATGGATGGCATTAACGCATGGAGCGTGGCATATGATATCATCTTGCTATTGATCAACACTCTTATAGCCCAGAGGTCAGTAACAGACTTTATGGTGTACTTTTGGCATTCCCTTTGACTCTCTACATGATTACAAAGAAACCACCTAGCCTAAGACAAGACTAAGCCCTAGGAAATCAGGAACGATTTTACGGTTTAATTAGAAGATAAATAGCAGATTATGAGAGAATATTTCAGTCTTGTAAAGCTTTTCCAGATTCAGTCTCTGTGCCTGCCTGGGGTAGTTATGTGGATAGATGTTAGGAATACAATAATATACTAGACTCACATGTAAACACAATAAGACCTGTACTGTATTTCTAAATAAGCTAAATACTGTATTAGCTTTTTCATGGTTATGATGATTCAGTAATTGCTGCACTTACAATAGCAGTCAAAAGTTTGGACATACGTGCCCATAAAGAGGTTTATTTGTACAATTTTCTACATTTAAAAATTATTTATAAAGACATCTAAACTATAATATAACATATATGGAGTATGCATTGACCAAAAAGGTATTAAACAAAAAAAAATTGTCGGGGGGGGGCAGCTCTACGGGTTGGGACTCTGAAGGCTGCTAGTTCAAATCCTATGGTGGGCAGAGTGATCCCACCATTGGGCCCTTGAGCGAGGCCCTTAACCCCAAGGGCTCCAGGGACTGGCTAACTCTACTCTCTCCTCTATGGCAGTTCCATGAGGTGGCCTCCTGCTCTGCTTTTCCAGCTGTCCTGAAGGAGCTCCCATATAAATGCTGAGCACTAATTTGCTGCTTTTCCCTCACTCTCTGGTTTTGATTATAACATCTAAAATTATATGGCATTATTTAGACCAGAATGCTTATTTGCAATTAAATTACAGATTATATAATGCAAGGTGAAAAATTACTTGTTAAGACAAACAAAAATCTAATTAACTGTACAATAAATGAGTTATAATAAATTAACTAAATCATCTGTGTTGTTAGTGTATATATACGATACATAAAGAGGACCCTGTTTAATATTGGTGCTCATAAGCCTTGATTTCTCAATCCTAACTAAACACTGACAAAGAAAACACTGCATGAATGTGCACCTGCAGAAGTATTTTTACTTCAAAATAAAATAAGTCTAATGAAAAAATGACCATGGTGCAGTAATCATTTAGTCATTAAGGAGACATCCATTTATGAAGGCATTTCAGCATTACTTGACTTGACTTGAAAATGAGAACATGCATTATTTCGATAAACAAATTAAAGTAATATAGTTTGTTTTGAAAACAAATTATAATTGCTTACTCTATGCTTACACTTGAACATGAATAATAGTGTAGTTGTGGATTAGCAGTGTTGAAGTTACTTCACTAGCTGAAGAAACAGTGGTAGCTTACTGCTATATGTGCGCTCCTCTGTTTGCTGAGGGGCACTCATTAGAGTGAATGTTATGGCATACAGTTTAACATTACCCACATACATTTCTTCTTATTATTAATATTATTATTATTATGAGTTATTTTTCAGTGTAAAGGTGTAAATTGGTGTGTGTCTGCACCCTGCCATGGGCTAGCATCCTATCCGGGGTGTTCCCCTGCCATGGGCTAGCATCCTATCCGGGGTGTTCCCCTGCCATGGGCTAGCATCCTATCCGGGGTGTTCCCCTGCCATGTAGCCCATGCTGCCCGGCATTGGCTCCCGGTTTCCGGCTCCCCATGACACTGTACTGGATCAGTAGTTGAAAGATGAATAGATAGATGGATTTTTTTTTCATGTTGGGCCCTCTTGGGAGGGAGAGATAGGTCAAAGATTTGTTCGTATTGATTAGTTACACTTGCCCCTTGATATGATTTTCATTTTTGTCTTGTTCCTCTCCCCCCCACCCCCACCCCCCGCATAACCCAGAAAAAGGAAAAGATTCCAGATACACCTGCTCCTTCAGCACAATCCCTGTGGCAGGTGGTTCTGTTCCTGGTCTCAGCTGAAGATGCACCCACAGTGCACTGTAGGTGGCAACCGCAACTTAAAAAAAGTTTAATGTGTGCCTAAGTTTTCTGGTTTCTAGGTCCTTTTTGCTGCATATACTGTACTGTACCTCTAGGGCCTCTCTAGTCACTTTCACTTCATCCCTCACAGCCATCATAATAATCCCTTGATTGAATTATCATAAGCAATTGTTACATCATTTTCAGTGTCATGATTTGAATCAATACTAATTTTCTCCAATAAATGCAACTATTACAGGCATGGTGAAACATGAACTGATTGCACTCGGAACATATATACATATATAATTTTTTTTTTACTTCTCTTTCTTAAACATACAAGTATCTACCACAGACCACTACATTTGCCGTGCCTATTTATATTTTTAATCTGAGGGATGAAGAGAAATAATGATTTCGAAGCCACACATTTCTGATGATTAACGTACAGTCACTTAAATGCCAAAAATCCATTAAATCAGTTTCTGGTCTTATTAGTGGATTCAATTTTCTTCTGCCATCGCAAAATGCCATGAGAATACCATAAGAAGCCATAAGCGCGTCACAGAATGGATGCTGAAAATAACCTTGGAGAGAGCAGCTCAATAATGTCCTCTACCGATTATTCTCAATTAGCAGTCGCCGCAGTGAGAAATGCATGACTTTGTTCAACAATACACTCAGAGATTTCCTCACCATTTATAATCTATCTTCAGGTTACAGTACGTGCATGTCTGACTGAAGGATTATGTTGCGAGGTGAGATGATGCGCTTACATCAACTTTCCTTATAACTAAACATATAATTCAATATACAAGATACTGGAGGTGGGAGAGTGACTGTCTTAAACGATACTATATAAACTGATTCTCAACAAGCAAAAAAATATTTAAGATTAAGCACAGTAATAACACAGCAGCTTTTTCTGCCTGAAAAGAACTAATTTTATTTCTAAATTGGCCTCATATACTATATGTGTGAAAAGAAAAATGGAGACCATTCAAGCACTTTGATTTTGAGCAACATGTTATTTAAATACATTGTGGAAATATAAACATTTTGTGCATAAAGAGGATATTTCAGCACATTATATATGAATGAGTCATATCTGGATTGTCATCTTATATCATTCCTTTCAGAACATGCCCAGCAATCCATTGTTTACAGTAAAAACTAGTACCATTAATCCCATTTAAACCACAGCATTTACATTTTCGACAGTGCTTGGCAAAGCTGCGGCTGGCATTATAAAGAATAAGCATTATCAAACACCAGGTTTGTAGCACAAACTAAAGAGCTTACATTGTAAGATACTGCAGCAGAGTAATGTAATTCTCAAGCCCAGTATCTTACCCCCTCTCTCTATAAGATTTGATGCAATGTAAAGAATTGCACAGACTCTAGAAGAACCTTCTCCAAAACAAGGAGAGGTTAGTGCTGGTTCAGAAGGGCTGTCAGGAGCTGCGGTCACCCTTGTGAATAACCCCCAAAAATTGGATTAAGGCAGGGTACGAAAATTGCCACTTTTTACGTATTACCGCTGAACTGATGAAGTTTGCCCACTGATAAAAGGCACTCCATGCTTGCACCTGAAAGTTACTCAGCTAGTCCAGTATATTAAGGTCCAAAACTGGATCCGCACACTTGTTTTCTGGGTCTAATCAATTAGCGACTAAAATGGTCACAACATGATTTACCCAGCAGTTGCAATCAGGGGATGCATGGCCTGAGATTGAAGTACACTTGACATCAGGATTACAGCCTACACCTTTTATCCATTGCACAAGTTGTTACCGAAGCAGTTGTGCCCTGCACTGTTATCAGTCATGATAACATGATGGTTAGATTTTACAGAAGGTTTAAGGACTCCCGGCCATTACCTAGAAGACAAGCACCAGCAAGCCTTTCTGAGGTGCGTGGCATAGCGCCTGACACAACCTGAACGGTCATGATGGAACAGAACCCTACATGTGTGACTCGTCTGTTCTCTTTGATACGACACAAGAAGGAGAATTTTAAAGACAGCATCATTATTTCTGTTCTACCACATTATTATCGTTAGTTGTTGTAGTGGAACATTCTGGCAGGGTCAGGAAAACTGGACACTTAGAACGTTTCCATACCTTAATCGTAACCTTTGATAAACGTTCCTGGAACTAAAAATTATATGGCCAGTTGACGCATGTTTTTTTTTCATCCAGAATTTGTTTAGAACAACATAACTTGGAACAGATTCTTCTAAATGCCTTTATATTTCCAAATGTATTTTAAGCATGAAAATAACCTTTTTCTTACCTCCACAGGGAACTCTCTGTGACACTGCCCAAGTTGAAGTCGAACAGCTTGGTTAGCATAAGAATGACCTGGGGAAAGAGAAAGGGGGTGGTCAAGATTTATTATGACCTATACTTAATGGAACTGCACTGCATGATTATTACTGAATTGTATGGTTTTTCACTTCTACTAAATATTCATCATTTTCCCCTCATGAAAAAAGAACAGAAAGAAACCTAATAATGCTGCCTCTTTATACTGTGCATAATGTATTAACACCTGTAGTTCTGTATTTAATGCTGGAAAGCGCCAAATCTTAACAACAATTAATTTACTTTGAAGGCCTCAAAAACCATGGCTTAAGATTATACTGGCCGTTAACAAACATTAACGCTTAGCACGCAATAAAACGCAAGATCTAAACAGCAAATAAGCAGCTAGCATGTCACAGCAGAACACGTCGTGACGACTGACAGATACGTCAATGGGCCCAGTCTAGTGTAACCGCTTCTAGCCTACCGCATCACTTGCCCAACTGGTTGTGTGCATCCGTTTGTTGTTCTGGTGTAATTGGGACTGGAATGGAGTTGGAAGGTAGGCTGAATGTGGTGCGTAGGTGTTCGTTCCACAGCATAATAAGCTGGACAGCCAAGGTGACCCTCCATTGGAATAAGGATGCCGGCAAAACTCTGCCCATATGAACAAATTCTATATTTTGAGTAATGACTAATTAACATTTAAGCCTGTGAAAAAAGTATAAAAAACATTTAAAAAAAGCTACAAAGAATTCACCAAGAAGTCATTTGCATGTTATGACTTACGCAAGGATTTCTGTTTTTATAGAATTCAAAAATGCACTAGATTCCTTATATCACTGGTGAATTATTTGAAGTTCATAATTTAATAATAGGAAGTTAAATTTAAATACTAAATACAATAAATATTCTTTCACACCTGCAAGGTACGAACAATTTGAAATTGGGTCAGCTGAAATCTACAGGGAAAATAGACTGAAAATCTGATTCTCCCGGCAGTGGGATAAAAGTAAGGAATGTGAAATAATTTACTTTATGATTGAAGATTCTTATTTTTATTTATTTATATATTTTTAAAATCCATCGTACTTTGAGCATAAGAAAATGAGAATTGTAAATGTTGTTATTCTACTTTTACGTTTTTTTTTTTTTCCTTCCCTTCTCCAACATGTACCTGGGTTATAAAACTTCAAAAACTTTTTTCTAGGTCATTAGGTAAAGGAAAACTTTTAGGAAGGAACTTTCTGTGCATCTACAAGCCATCGTTTTTTTTTATGTATGTATTTAATTTTTTATAGTGAAGGTGTTACAGGCAAGGCACATATCAGAATTTTCAATGCACACAATAAACATTAAGTTATGGAATGCTGTGGGTGTTGAATTTGTGTTTCCGTATTTCACTGGAATACCTGGTTGGATCTCTCCCCCCCCCCCCCCCCAAAAAAAAGGAATCTGTCAAATGGACACATTCACGACCTTAATGCTAAAATAAACAGATTCTCTTGGAATCTTGATTTTATGAAGCTGATTGAACAGCATGATATTTCCAACTACACCGTGCAAAGAGGTGCACTTCTTTGTAGAATTATGCTACAGAAGCCCCCATGGTCACTTTGATTATTTATACATTCATACTGGCAACTTATCATGCGCAATCAAGGTTCTACCAAGTTTTTTTTTTTTTTTTTTTTAAAGTTATTTTAATTAAAAGTGTCTCAGAAAGTTCAAGTCAGTGCAACCTTATCTTCGAGGAATCGCCCACAGGAATGAAAAACCTTAAATGTCTAGACAGACCAGTGAATGCTAATTACGAAGTATTTGGCTACATGCACTGGTCAGTGAAAAATCACACCTTTTCACATTTAACTTTTTTTTTTTTTTTAAATTTTACAGAGCTTGATTGGTCGATAGGAAGAGGTGCATCAGTGAAATGGAGGCACAGAGTAAGTCAGGAAATATTACTCTCTGTATAAAGAGGTACTGCATACATTCATTACCTGAAGGACATGGCGCATATGAGCCTTCTGTTATCCACATATGGAGACTAATGTAGGCGGCCATCAGCGAGTGTCCGTGTCAGATGGTCTCCCACTGGATCGGGCATATGCTACTCCTCAAAGCAGGCCAATTAAGCCTGTGTGTGCTTCTTGAACTATAAATAATACCTCCCTGTTAAGGTTGTTTAATAGGCCAATTCATTGCATAAAGATGCATTCTGTTTTACATAAATAGTGATAATTTACTTCAAATTAGTAACTAATATCATGTCGTTTTCATAAACTCACATCACATTAATTATTTTGCACATCGTGTCTGTGATGTAACTTGTAATTATTTTCTCTCTCTATCTGGACTTCCCACTAATTGAAGAAAAAAACAGAACACTGTACAAAAACACACATAATTGTTATATGTCTAGAACAAAATAATCCATAAATGCCCACAGAAATGTGACTTTGCAAAGACATATAACATTCATATTTGTAGGTCATTGTAGCACTGTAATGTGAAAAGTCTTTAATAAAAATTTTAGGCATAGCTTGGTTACATGCTAAGATTTGCTGTTTTCATCATTCTAGCCCAAAGCAAACACTGCTGACATATTATACTGCAAATGATCAAAAACAACCAAGATCTGAGTAAAAAGAATGTGTACAGGTGAATATGAGAGTAGGTCCCATTTAAATATGTTAATTTACAGGCAAATTTCTGGTTGAATGTCTGCAAAATAATCTGGAATTGATGAATTTGACCACTGTGTAGGGCAACATATTGGTGAAAGACACAGATGTTACTTAAAGGTTGCAGGTTCAAGTGCCAGGATTCAGTTCAAAGAAAGGAGATAATTCTTACAGAGACAGCATGCCCTATAGGTGACAAAAATCAGAAGAAATACCAGTGGTTGTATTCCATTACAGTAGCTATTTACAGTAGTTTTAATATTTCACTACTTTTCTTATGAAACAGATGCGGTTTAGCTAGATATACTGAAGAGTTTTTAATATAAATGAACTGACTAAATTTGTTTTCTGCTCTTCTGGGGCGTGGGCAGCAGAATCTTGCCAAAGATGCCAGGACACCCAAGCTGGCCCTGATATCTCCTATTAGAATGTCCTAGGTTCAGGAAACGGATGATGCTGGAATGGTCAGATTGCGCATTAGATAGAATAACTGGAAAGTGTGGCTATTATTTATAATGTTATGTGTTTATTTACTGTTACATAGAATTTATTTAGTAACTATCCATCCATCCATCCATCCATCCATCCATCCATCCATCCATCCATACATCCATACATCCATCCATACTGTACATCGTCCAGTCACTAGTCAGCATAAGATACAATGCAGTACAACACCCTGGACAGGATGCCATTCATTCTGCAGGGTAAACACACAATCACACAATATGGGCAATTTAGGAGAAATGCTGTTTCACCTTGACCAGTGTTTCCAGTTCTCAGGGATCCACAGTCGGTCCATGTTTTTGCTCCCTCCCAGTTCCTGCAAAAATGTGGACTGTCTGTGGGTCCCCGAGGACTGGATTGGGAAAGACTGACCTAGTCCAACCAGGCACAGCACAAGGACAACCCCCAGCCCTGGTGGGATGAGGTAATGCTCCTTACTGTGGCTTACTTGAAGTATAAACATTCAAAATGTGTGCTTTTTATGGTTTGTTTTAACTAAATTACTGTTTATTTTGCATTGCAAATCCACCTTCCACATAACTTAATAATCATCTTCATCTTAACATGAAACATTATTAGTACAATATGCAGTAAACGTGACATGAGAAGCGTATTGATTTTTTATTGTTTTATTGGTTTTTGGCTGATTTCCTTTTGACTCAGATTGCTGGTTTTGAATCAATGTAGGACATTCTAGACACTAGAACTGGATGTCTGATTAGAAACTTTTTTCTTCAATTTTACTCCTAGTGTTTAGCAAGTATTTTGTAGAGAAAGGGTATGGAGATCACTTGTGCCTAATTCATTGAAATGCTAAAGGTATCCCATCTGTTCGCAGATAAGAAGTGATGCCTTCATCAAAGGGCAACTACATCCAGAATTTAAAAAAAAAGTAACACGTTAGCCATTCCTGTGACTTGAAATAAATGTACAACAATAGTCACAACTCAGTCAGTGTGCAGTTAAAAAATATATCTGAATCTCACAGAAGCCTTAATACATCATAACACAACTTGGCAGGTTCCACAGGGACCTACCTCTGCCAGCTGGGGAGAGAGATGTTTTGATAAGCTGCCTTTCAGGATGTTCTTCCCAAACTTTAAGGTGTGTGTAAGGTCACGCCCTAAAGACCTGTCTGTTTATAACTTTAAACACAGTGGTTCTGAAGGCCCCATAATCACCAGGAGCACATTTGCCTGGATTGCATCATTCCTTTCCAAGACATGCCATGCATATGCCTTGAACTGTCAAGGACATCCCATAATGCATAATAATGACCTTGTCTGTCTGGTTGGGAAGAGTGTCTCCCAGGGTGACAATGTATCATTGGGTGTCCCCATCAAAGAGAAAAAAGAAAATATATCAGTCAGAGTTATACACTTGAAAAGCATGACGCACTTAACTTGGACAGTGAAGTCCAGGGGGACATGGTTTTAATCCATAACCATTTACACTGCTTAACTTTTCATAAAATTTCCTGCTGATCACTTCTGGAAGCAGACCATAACTTACCCACTGCAGCCTCTTGGTGTACTGTGTGAATTACTTAGTATATACACTTCCGTAATAAGATTGAATATTACTCAATATGTTTCTAACCTATCTATCTATCTATCTATCTATCTATCTATCTATCTATCTATCTATCTATCCATCCATCCTTAATAATCTCATCAAAAATTGTATCTTATTAATGTCATTGGAAAATGAAAGCACACTGCTGTGTCTGTAATATTGACTTCTTCAATTAATCAGTGCATTTTTGAATTCTTAGTTTGATCCATTATCATACTATGAATAATGCATACTTGAGCGAGTGCAGGGGCAGGAAAAAATGCTTTTAAAAACAGGTTATTCCAAACAATA